TTTCATTCATGCTTACTTTTATTATTGAATAAATATTTTTGAGCACTTTGAGCCACGTTGTGTTCTGAGTTATGAGAATACAGTAATGAACAAAAGATGAGCTATATTCTTATGGATTTACAGTTTATTGGGGGAAGAGAAGGATTTAAAAAGTCTGAAACATGATTATTTAAATTTAGAATAAGTGAAGTTTAAAATAATAAGTTATTAAAAAAACGAGTTCTTGTGAGAAAGACTTTTGTGGTAGAGTGGGGGCTACTTTGAACTGGGTGATCAGGGACATCCTCAATGAAGAAATGATAGTTAAAATCATATCTGAAGAATGATAAGGATTTAGGCACATGATGGAAGTGCAGGTGGAGATTAAGTATATCAAAGAGGGGAACAGTATTCCAAGGCCTTGAGGTAGGAAGAAGTATTGCCATAGTGAAATAAGAAGAAAGTGGCACAATAAGAGTGGGAAAAGCTTTACTGAAGAAAGAGGAATTTGCTCTATTTTTTCTGCCTCACTGCTTGAGCTGGGACATCTCATCTCATCATATCCTACACTTGGACTGGGATATATACCATTGGCTCAACTGGTTCTCAGACCTTTGTACTCAGACTGAATTACACAGAGAATAAGATTAAGAATCTGAGGGTGGGTGGGAGTGAAAAAATGTCTTTTTACATCAATTTTTAACATGTGGGACAGACATGATATCCTATAGTTTAATGTAAATACGTCTAAGTGAAGTCAGGGCTAGGACACAGATTGGGAAATCACAGTTGGTGTTGAAATATGGGAGTATATAAGGCTACTTTTCCATTACCAAAATAGAAATAAAATTTAAATAAAGACAACCTTTGACACTTGGAATTAATGAAACTATTTGGGCTTATTGTTAATTATCCTTCCTCTAATTATTGATCAGTATTCAAAAACATTTACACTTCCAGCAGATGGCAAGCATGGGAAAAAAGAAAAGGGTAGCTGTTCACATGACACTGAAGTTTCAATTCACTAATAAAAAATAAGCCAACCATATGAATATTTCCAAATACCTAGATGTCATCTAAGTAAAACATAAAAGTGATATAATGCAAAGAAAAATAATTTTGTATGCTTTCCATCAACTTGGTTTTTTGTTCTATGCACACAATAGACACAATAGTATTGAAAGCTTCTGTGACATTGATACTCTAGGAAAATCACAGTGTCAAATCCTAAAATTCTGGTGTAAGGCTATTTTCTTTTTCTTTTCTTTTTTTAAATCAGCACCTATTTATTATCTCACAATTCTATTCATCAGAAATCCAAGTACAATGTAATTTAACTGTGTCTTTTGATTAAAGTCTCACAAAGCCCAAATCAAGGTGTCTGCAAGTTTGTATTCCTTGCTGGAGGCTCTGGGGATATATACACCTCCAAGTTCATTCAAATTGTTCCCTCAGTTTAGTTCTTTGTGTTTACTGACAACTATTTTCGACTTGAAATATCACTCCTATCTTTTTAACAGGCCTGGTAGAGACTGAATGCCTTACTGTGGGTCACCAAGTAACCATGAACTTCAAACTGAACATCATAAAATTAGTTATTATCTGATGCATTGAATCATTAAAATTGGATATGAAGAATGGCATACCAAAGATTCGGTGACTGTGCCGGTTGAGAGGCAGCAACCTTAAAGCAGCAGTTGATAAATGATGCCTTCTCCCCATAGCCAGGAACCAATGGGTAGAGATGGAAAGTGACCTTCTCACTATTATATTTAACAATTCATAGAAGGAACTTTTGCCTCCTGCTATGAAAATATTGGGGTTTGATGGGATTGAAAGTCTTACTACTCTAATGCAGAATGCTTCCACTAGGGAACAGTCATGTTTTCATTAAATTGGAAGCTAAGACTGATTCTTAGCCATTTGAGGCTCCTCATGAGCTTATAGGCACAGAAAGAATAACTTACTGGCTGGGGTGATTGATTCTTATTACCAAAGGGAAATTTGGTTGCTGCTACACAATAAATCCAAGGAGGACTATTACTGGAACTTAATGGATTCACAGAGGTACCTCTTTTACTCTCACCAAATAGCCATGATCAATGAAAAACTGCAATAAATATAAGATTGTCAAAGACTCAGATTCTGCAGTGATAAAAGTTTGTGTTATTCCACTAAACAAAACAAAGCAAACACAGCTGAGATGCTGCAGAGAGCATAGGAAGACAAGGAATTTGTTGTGGAAGAAGAAAAAAATGATTATCAGCTTAGGACTCATGGGCAGCTAGCAAATCAGAGGCTGAAGAAGCTATGCTTTACTTTGCTTCTTTTCCCCTCCTACCCATTCCCATTGCCTTAAATAAAAAAAGAGTAATGGTGGTAACTAACATTTTATTTTCCAGTGGAAATGTCATTGAATTGACATTATCCTGCAATTAGACGGTAGATGATGGGAATTTGTGTCTTCTCTATGTTGGGGACATTAATATTTTACCTGGACACAAAATAAGAGTTCATCTTGAGGAGAAAAAGGAATGGGCTTTGCTGGATATTCCCTGCCTTGTTCTCCAGAGCCACTCCTCACTCTTATCCAGTCTGCTTGTAACCGGGAAGTTAACCTTTGTGAACTGCATCAGTGCACTCCTTTCCCTCTGGCTTGTAGTTGAGTTCAGCTGTGTCTTTTTTTAAACTTTGGTAAAAGGACAAAACTCCTGTTAGAGAAAGTCCTCATCTATAGCTAGTCTTCCCAGGTTCTGGGAATCATTCTTTCCCCTTGTATCATCAAAGCTAGGGACTATAAGTGTTCTTCAGTGTTGCTAGTCCTAGTGAGCTTCATTGAGATTTGTTGGTTTCTATTAACTTTTATTGTATCTTAGTAAATTGTCCCTTTATTACTCTTTTCATTATCTTGTTTGAGAGTGCCTTCTATTTTCTGTCAAGACCCTGAATGAAACATCAAGTATCAATTTCCCCCTATCTACCCTGAGTACGTTCTAGGATCTGCAAGGCCAAGTCATATTACCTTTTATCCAAGCCAAAAACCTAGGAGTCATCAATGACAAAACCTCTTACACTACATATCAAAACCATAACTATATTCTATCAGTTTTATACCAAAATATTTCAACGTCCTTTATTTCTTTCTTTCATCATTATCAATTTCCTAGTCCAATCTACTGTCATTTTTTTGCTCGAAATACTGAAATAGCCTCCTAACGGGTCTTACTTCCTTCCCTTTGGTCCTGCAATAATATATTTTCCTCACTGCAGCCAAAGTGATCTTTTAAAAATACTAATCTGTTCCCTTCCATGATCCTGATTGAAATCCTTCAATGATTTCCTTGGCATCATATTCTCTATCTTGTGTCATAGAGAGCTGGTCAATCATCTGCTTCCAGTTATTAAGTCCAGAAATTTGGTTTAAATCTTTAATGAGCCAGGCCATTCTCTCGGCACTTTTACCAACACAATTTGATAAACAATGCATCTTATGGCAGGGAGCTTCCTTTAGGATCCTGTTCTTTCACATATTCTCTATCTTGTGTCAGTGTCACCTTTAAACTTATTTCAAATTTAGCTATAGTTTAATAGTTGTTCATGCAAGAAAACCCTGAGTTACTCTTTTTTATTTCATTTTCCTTGCTAGCTATTCTCACCTATTTATGCTTTCAGTTGAACTTTCAAATAATTTTGTCAAATTCCAAAAATAAATCTTTGGGGATTTTGATTAGAATGAAGTTAAACCAATAAATTTAATAAGGAGACTATTTATTTGTAATCCTTTTTCTTCCCTTTCCATGTACTCAGCTCTTTTTTGTATCTGTTCATTAATTTTTGTGGTTTTCTTCATAATGAATCCAGAAATTTCTTGTTCCGTGCTATTTTATGTCCTTGTTACTATTATGAATAGACTATTTTTCACCTGTCTGTATTACCTTTTTAATTACTTGTTGGTGATATAAAGAAAAGCCACTGGATTTTGTTTATATTATGCTGAATCTTCTTGTTGATTTTTTAAGTTTTCAATCAATCCACTAGTGTTTTATACATAAAATCTCATGTCATAATAAACATAATTTCATCCTCCTTTAGAAAATGATATTTGCTATTTGTTTCACATATTCTCAGATAGTGACCAGAATGTCTAAAACAACACTGAATAGCTACAATAGCCAGCATCTTTTCTTTTGTTTCACCATTATCCATGGTGCTGACTATTTAAGATAAATATGTAAAGAATATGTCTCTTTTCCTAATTTTTATATTTTTAAACAAGGAACAGATGTATAATTTTATTGAATTCCTTCTGAATATTCTCATTCTTTATTAAGAATCAGTTCTTTAATTTTTTAGCCACTGTTATTTTCTAATTATTGCACCTGTTTTTTCCACTTTAAAGGTTTGTATTATTGTCTTATTTCTAAACTCTTGATAAATATTTAGTTAATGTGTTTTCTTTTTTTTAAGAGAGTATTTAGGGCTATGGATTTGACTGGGTACAGTTTTGGCTACCAAAATTAATCAACAATCACTGCTAGTAGGTAATCAGTGATATCAGGAACAGTTTTTAACCTAACCCAAGAGAAAGAGTCTAAAGTACTTCCCCCTTTGTAGGAAGTTTATACTCTTAGATAAGTGACTAGAGATCATATGGTGTGAAGTTATTAAAAGTCATCAACCTCTTATCCAAGGTTAGTTCTTAGTGAAGTATTGTAGTTGTATATGGTTGCTTAAATTTTTGTGAAAAAAGCAGCACATTAAAGGTTTGAAATTGCTATGGGCCTGAAGGCTCTTAACACATAGTTGAATTTACATGCAAGCTAATTATGGGGTGTCTATAAAATATTAATTGATATAATATCAAAAGAAGAGTAAAATATGAGATTATAAAATATAAATGTGTAGACATGGGAGTAAGGGCAAAGCTAAGTTCATAATTTTAGATCTATTGCAGGTATGCCAAAGTGAAATAAGTAGTGGTAATTGTTCATATTAAGTATCCCTCAAATGAGAAACAGTGGTTGAATATGGTAAAATTTATTATAGAGTTGTAGAATTCACACAACCTAAATTCCTCATAGCATTCAATACTTACAGTTTTGTGGATTTCACAATACAGTTATCAGCGAGAAAGAATCACTGCATTAGTGAAAATGACTTCTTTTGAAAGATTTTTTCACATACAAGTTTGATTTATCACAGAGCACCTAACAGAAATGCAAAGATGTAATTTCTAAATTCAGGAAATTTTCAAAAATAAAAAAGAAAATGAAACTTAACAATGTTAAGAGATTTGACATGCTTCACACAAAAAGGACAAAAAGAATTTTAAATATTTTAAACTTAAAACATGTTCTATTGTATGACTGAAAAGCTTGCTTTAAACACACACACACACACACACACACACACACACAAACAGAAAGGATGCAATACATTGTCAGGATGTTAGCTGATGCTGCTTTCAGAAATCTAAACTTTATAAATTCAAAAAAACATAAGAATTATTTAATTTCAGTTTCAAACAGCAAGCACTGCCAATTAAATTAAAAATTGACATAAGCTTGCAGTGGTTAGTAGTTTTTTTCCCTTTTTTTTAGTATAAGCCATAGAGTAAATGTATGAGTAAATATATCTTGAATATCCCACACACTTTAATGTTGAAGTCATATTGTTAATCTCTGACTTCCTATTACTAAGTGTACTCTTTTTCTGTTGTCTCTCATTCTTGACAGATCTTGGTCTCAACAATGAATTCGTTGGGGAAGTGTCTAATCTTCCAACACTTATCAATGGCACGTTTGTTGAAACCTGTAAGGAAATGTACAAAAAAGTGGCTTTTTCATTTTTGTGTAAATGAAAATATATCTAGATTTGCTCTCTAGTTTTTCCCATACTCCACCCATACTCTCCTTCACTGTCTCAGTAACACAGGGTGAAGGAAGGTATACATTACCTACCCAGCAAAAGGTCTCTTCTACGAAGGCGGAAGGACTTGCGGTTGTTGCAAAGTTGGTAAATAAAGATGCCAAGGTTACTAACATCACGAACCTCTTCCACAGCAACCAGGTCTTCATGAACCACATAAGTGTGAGGCAGGTATTTGCCACTCTAATTTTTTTTAAAAGATTGAAATGAGAAATTCTTAAAAACACTATTAAATACTCACCTATAGTAGATAAACCTTTTTTTTTTAAAAAAAAGGCTTTATTTTTGGAACAGTTTTAGATTCACAGCATACTTTTTATTTGAAAATTATTTCAGTAAAATGGAATATTTTGGCTCAAATAATTAATTTTTAAAATGAGGAAGCAATATTATTTGGAAATGCTTATGTAAAAGTTTGACATCCAAAATACATACTGCCAATTTGCCAAAGAGCTCCACCAGATTCTTTGGAGTCATAACAATGGAGGTATTGAGGGGCATCAGATAGCAGTTCCCCAGCAGCAAGTCTAGGTAAGCAGTCATGCCCTGTTGGGGAGGGGAAAAAGTTAGGTGTGATATAGAGAGTATCAATGCTGCAGATTTTCCAACTACTGTTGGAACAAGCAGCTACAACCTTTCAAAATCAACTAATGTATATTCAAAGGAAAAGAATGAAAGAAGCTTTGCTGCAAAAAGTTGTACATTTATAAACAGATTTAATACATACCAATAAACTAAGGAAAAAAGAAATTTCAAGAATACCTATGAGAATGAGAGACTCACCTTTTCAAAGTCATGTATAATTGCTGCAGGGTCACTATCAGAGAAACTGGGGACAGGAACATCAATGATTGCGATGTTGTCATCCTCACGAATGTCAGCCTCTTCTGTCACAGGTAGGAAGTAGGGCTCTTCTCCTTGAAGGGAATTTGTAGGGTCCTCAGAATCAAAGAAGCACATCTCTCCACGGTAGATGGTACTCTAAAAGACAAAAAAGGAGAATCAAAACTTTCTAATACTTACTACCATAACATTTGAATCATTTCTCATACTCATGTCAATTCATTGTACTATTTGTCAAGCTGAGGATTGGTGATTACAGTTATCACCATAAAGACAAATCCGTTTTATAAGCTGAAAGGTGATTTGAAACTTTTCCTAAATCTTCATTTCTTTGGTGAACACCACAGAATTATTTTTAAGTTGCCACTAAATGTATAGCAGCTAGTAACCCAAATGATAGGAATTTTAATTATTATTACCTTGGGCATGAAGTACTTGTAAATGCAGGCTCCACCAACAATAAGTCCTGCCAAGATGAATGAAAGGCCTAAGAGAGTAAGCATGCATCTCCCAGAGGAGCCCTCATTTTCCTTGGTGGCAACTCGAAGTTCCTATTTATTAAAAAGTAAAACCAAAAGCAAAAAAAAAAAATTGCAATTTTAGACACATTGTTGCTTCTGTGCACCATTTACCTCCCTTGAAACCCAAGATATTTTAAAATGATGTTGTCATCCTAGCCTAAAATCATTTCAAGAACTTTCTGATATTTAATAGATGTGAAAATATCCAATTTATAATTTTTTTCTAGCATTTTCAAATCCAAATATAGATATAAAGTTATTTCAAAGTCCATGCTTATAAAATCAGCTGAAAATAACAATTCACTTATGCAATAAGTTATCCTCCTTAAATAAATGGAAGCTGTTAATTAGTTTTTGGATTGTGCAATGATATAATCACTAACATTCTAGAATACAATTATGTTTCTTTAGTATTTTTTGTAAATCAACTTGTTTGCCAACTTAAAGGTGAATTAATACCCTTTGGTTTATTAACTATTTTTGAAAAGGTGTTTTTTGAAAATTAAGTTTTATAAGAAGGAGTTCTATAAAGTAGGTATATACCATTTCCTCCTATTTTAGAAATTAAAATATTAAAGATGAGATATAATTCACAATGCTCTTAATTTCAATGAGTAATTAGGCTTCCTAATGTCACCCCATGTTCTATGGCTGTGTATTTCTTTAGTGAAATAATGTTTTCTAAGTTCTAGACAAAACACTAGATTTTAAAGAACAGCATTTGCGATAGCTAGGCACAAAAGCTGTGTGTGTGATAGTGACTATAAAATTCTCTTAAATCCTTAATTTTTTTAGTAACTGGAACAAGAAAGATCCAAAACAAACAAGTAACTGATTAGCTCTGTACTCTTCCCAGAGCAGTGGACCAAGGGGCCCCCCAATCCCATTCTTGTATGTCACAACATGGCATAAGCAGCATTAGTACAGAAGGGTAAAATAAACGAAGTCCACAAATCTAGTCTTTCTTTGTTAATCAGAGAGTAAACCATTCAGACTGCTATGTAAATAGAATTGTTTTAGTCTTTCAGGCCACTAGATCTTTTCTATGACAACTACTATAATGCTTATGGGATCAAATTAAACGTCAATTAATTTGGTGAAAACAAATACATGGATTCTAAGGAGAGGCAATCATTTCATAAATGGCTTCTCAAAAATGATTTTTCTTTAAAATTCAAAGAAATTTAGTATTCAAATTTTCTTAGCTACATTTTTTAACTTTAACACTACACAGGCTATAAAGTATGATTATGAATCACTGTAATCTAGAGCTAGAGGCTAAGAAATTATATTTTAGATGATAAAATGGTCCGGAAAAATGAAGTGACTTCCCTATAAGTTACAAAATGACTTATTCAAAAATCTCAAAAAGATGAATTTTTTTTCTTGTCACTGAGATGTGAGAAAAGCAATCTGCACTGCAATTTCATTTCTCCTTCCAATATTTCAGGGATTTTATTATTAAGCAAGGTCTAAGTATTAGAGTGTCAATTTCATAAAATTTCCCACCATAGTAAGCAAGGTATGAAAACTAAGTACTCATGGATGGATGATTGGATTAGAAATAAGGATTTTTTTTCATTTAAATTTACTGGACTTCAGTGTGGTAGGGGCTGTCACTTATCATAGCTCACTTCCCTCTGAACTGTATTTAAAGTCACTGTACACAACCTCTGACATACTATTCTGTTGTGCTCAATTTCTGATAAGCTAATCAATATATCACAATATAATATGCCAAATATTATTGAGTCAATGTCTTACAGTGGCCAGGTCAGGGTCCTGTGGAAACTTCTCAAACACTTAACAGAGAAATATAATCATACTGCATATGCTCATTCTTGTTTATTCCTCATCACACCACAGGCCTGGCATAAGTATTGCTTGCATATTAACTGAATTCAACTACAAATCATGAAGTCTGTGGTAGAAAGGGAAAAAAAAAGGATTACTATCTGGCTGTATTTAACTACTGGCATCTAATTAGACCTCCCCCAAAAATCTGGCCATATTTCCCTTACAAAGTAAGTGGGACAATTACATATTTGACCTTCTGTCATTTAATCAAAACCTCAACAGTGCAAGGGGTTACTTTCAAATTACGAAATGTGTAATACACAAAAGCTAGTTTGATTGCTTGGTTAACTATTTAAAGTTTCTGTGATAAAAATTCTGCAAAACACATTAGCATTTCAAATTGTGCACATAATCAGTTTTACTACATGGATTCTCATTTCACTCAATGATCTTTCCAAATTTCCACTCTGAAAACAAAAGTTTAAACTTTATAGAGAGAACAAGACAAGTTAGGACAGATCTGCAAACTTCAACACTGCATAGATTTTGCAGAACAAGAAGAAAAATATGATTGTGTCTTATAACATTGAGATTTAAATGAGGAAAACGTGGAGTAGTTTACAAACGCTGAAAACATGTTAGATAGACATTTAAAGGAAGTTGAACTGAATAAACAACTGGTAACATTTTTAGGGGGGAAACTCCCCTAGTTGCTGGCAATGCTAGATTAAATCACAAGGTCGGACCTCCTTAAGATCTTTCCATGGGGGAGGGTGGGTAGAGAGTATATCGCTCAAAGGATATTGAGCAAAAACCCTCAAAATTTCTTTCTGCGAAAGATGAGTGTTTTCTTTAGGAAATGCCACTCCGAAAACATGCAAGGCTCTTGCATAAGAGAGCACAGTGAACATTTCAAATTCTAATTAAGACCAACTTCAGTTTTGACAACTCCTTTACCGAATGCTTAACCCCTCTTATCTCCTCCAGGGAGAAACTGAAAATATGCACAGGCAGGCATACATATACTTGCCCCAACCTATACCGGTCAGGGTCAGAGCTGCCCCTTGTCCCCGTCCCACCTCTGCAAACACTCAGCAATCCTAGAAAGACTTAGATTTATCGAACTTTATATACGTCAAAAGTAAAAATAATTAAAACTCGTGTTCTTGCTCACCCTGCGATTCCTCTCCTCCCCTGTGGAGGCTGTGGACGCCCCCGGAGCTGACTGGGTGGTGTGACTCTCGTTGATCCCCAGCCACCCACATGTTCCCTAGGAGAAGGTGACTTCGTGTCCCAGGGGTTCTCCTCAAACTCCCTCCAACATCCCTCTGCGATGTAGAGAGTGGGCTGGGACAGACGGAACGTGGCGCTACGCGCGGAGATGCCAAGGGGCGTGGGGCACAGCAAGCGGAACGTGGCGCGAATAGACAGAATGGGGGCTACTGGGCAAACCCAATGGGCAGTGCAGAGAGGACTGCTTGGGAACACAGGAGCTCCGGAGCAGTTTACTTTTTGTCCTCAACCACCTACCCCTCTCCCTCCCCGCCAACCTTCCTCTCCCCACCTTCCCGACCCTGGCAGGCAGTCGGGGGTGAAGTGGGGACCGCTACCTTGCCGGTCAAGATCTTAGCTCGGACTGTACGGCTTACGAGGGCCTCCACGTCTTGCTGAGCCTCCTCTTTTTGCACCGCCGTGGGTGTATTGAAGGCGATTTTCACCATGGTGAATCTTCGGGCTGCGCGGTAAGGCGCGGCTCGAATCAGTGTCCTGGGCTGCAGGTTGGAAGAGGAGAGGATCGCGCTAGCCCTAGCAGCACCTTCTTTCTCCCCCGCTTGCCTTACACTACTGCAAACTCAGGTCTGGGGATACTTATGACGCAGCCCCAAGCTGGGTGGGATACCGTGGGCGGGCCCAGGGAGGGGCCGAAGGAGGAGCAAGAGGGGGCCCAAGTGCTGGAATGGGGGTGGGGGTTGCCAGTGAGAGAAGAGGAGGCGGGGTAGAGCTGAGGGCCGGACTCAGAAGCCTCACCTGCACTCCAGGCGTGCTCCCACCAGTTCTCTGCTCTCCCAGATAAGAGCAAGATAGGAAGGAAGCCTGCCGTGTCGTGTCTTTCTGCCTCTGTCCAGGCCACAATAGCCCCTGACCCTGATTCTGTTTTCCCAAACTTGGACCTGGACTCCCGCGGGGCAGGGAACTGTAACTTGGCACCAGTTCAAACTTCCTCCTCTCTGCACCCACCCAGGGCCCTAAAGCACAGTTCCAGGGCTGTTCTGTACGTTTACAATAATACCTTCCCTTTAAAGAACACTCAGAAGCACGTTTATAGTTGCTTGGTTTGCTCTCTCAACACGTTTTTCTTTTCATTCCTTGACATTTGTTTGTTTTGTCTTTTTAATTTCCCAACCTAGAGCAGTGCTAAATCAGAAATATAGGGTGCCTGCCTCCTCCACTCCCCATTTTGCAGGTAGGACATGACGAGACGCAGAGGCGTGTCAAAAGCTTGTAGAAAATCCCCGAAATAATCCAGAACTTTCACTCTCTCAGGTCAGGGAAACCAGACTAAGGTTTCAGCCCTGAGCTTATTTCTCTTTAGCCACCAGCTGTGAAATCTGCAGGGAGAAAAGCAGGGACGTGTGTGTACCTATGTGTTTAGGGAGGTGGAATTGTGGGTGGAAGATAGAAAATTTAGTGAGATGCTAACCCAGCTCTACTGGGAAAAAAAAATCTCAAAGGGGCTGAATTAGAAATCATTATGGGAACTTTTACATATACAGCCAGTGTAATCATGCTGTTTCTTAACAGTCAGTTCTCCCTCATTGGTGACACTAATAAAGAACCTCACCATATGAATTCATGCTAAAGTTGGTGACTGGGGGTGGCAGTCCTAAAGGGTATATAAATAGTCCTGCTATTAAAGACAGTAGAGGGGTCTGTTTTGTGAAAGTAATAACACCAAAGAAAAATTCAGCTTGTGCTAGAGAATCCTCCATCTGCTCATATACTTATTAAAATGACTTGAATATGTTGAGAGTCACCACCCCTCTGTCCAAGAAATTCCAGGTTGGAGTTTTTCCCACTGAGGTTTCCTTGATTCTGAAGCCCATAGCCTGGCTCCACTGAGGGAGCTTTGTGAAAACAGCCTTCATTTTCTTGGATAGGCTGCAGATGGGAAGGTAGATGGAGGGGAACAGTGCAAAGCCTGTGCCTTACACAGGGCAAGATGTTTGAATTAGCTTAGAAATACTGGCATCTTATGTTCTTTTATTTATTCTTTACTCAAGTGTGACCATTATAATTTAACACTCAAAAGGCAACCTTTAGTGTAGGCTGAGGATATCTCAACTTCCTAGGATATTTCTCTATTCAGTCATTTTCTGTTTGACATCACCTTTTGACAACTCAGCCTAGGGTCTGTGCTCGTCTGGCCCTGTGATCCATACCACACAGATGGTTGAACCAATGGTTGCTCCTCCATGTTTACCTACCAAGTGCAAGGTGCTGGGTGGGATAGTGATGCAGTATTTTAGTGTATGTTCCCTGAAATGTGGTCATGTAGAAGGGGCAAGGGTGTTTCTATTTTTCAAATGAATAAACCCAAACTCTAATAATAATCAATGGAGTATATGATTAATTGTTGGGTTTGTGACATTGAGCAAGTCTCCACATCTCCATGGGCCTCATTTTCTCCTCAGTAGAGTGGTGCAATATTTTCATTCTACTGCTGTATCATTTAGGATAATGCAGGAGGAAAGATATTTTAAATTATGGAAAGGATAGAAGAATTAAACGGATGGTTATTTTAGTATGTAACATAACCATGTTTCAAAGTTATAATGATCATCTATTTTTTATCCTTCAACATTTTTTTAACTTCTACAGCTGCTTAAGACCCCACAGTGTCTGAGTACAGATCATTTTGGAAAAGGCCAGACTTCTAAGAATAAAGTCATGTAAATCAGCATCTAACTTCTCTGTTGAACTTTGAAAACATTGGCCATCTTTTGTTTGTTAATGCCATGCCCTCTTTTAGGAATGCCACTCATACATCTCTAAGGACCTTTGCCCTTAGACATAAGTGATGTAGGCCTGGTTTCAAGTTAGCAGACACTGTTATTATCTTCTCAATATAAATAAGTAATGCTTGTGTTAGAGTCATAGAATAGCAACACCACCACCCATTGTTAATGTCCGTTTCTGAAGGGCAAATAATTCTTGCATGTTTTTTGAATTTCAAAATATAACCTGCTACTTGCAAACAGTAGTAAATGTATTTCATCTACTAAAAAAAATGGTTGTCATTGGTTAAGCTTTTTCTTGTACTTACTCCTTTCCAGAAACTGTTTCTTATTTTTTAGAGTCAATTTCTTTCACTTTCTTGTCCTTGAAAACTGTGGGGATCTGGCTGCCATGACGATTCCAGCTCACATTGTTAATTATGTCAGAATCCACACCATATGACTTCCCTGTTCTCACATGCCAGGTGCTGACTAAATTATCACAACTTGAGCTGAATGGAACATGGTAAACAATTGAATGTCAAGCAATGATGTCAATTCCCTTTGAATGATTTGAAAGTTCTCAAAACTCATGGCATATGTGATACGATTTAATTAACTCATTTATTAAATATCAAATATTTACCGAAGGTCTACTGCCTTGTGATGAGATCAACTATGGGAATACAGTGGTAACCAAATAGATACAATTTTGCCCTTGTAAAGCATATCACTGCTGCACCCATGGCAATGATATTTATTATGAGCTCTCCAGTTTTTGTAGTAAGAACGCTGGTCCTGTGCGTGGAGTAGGATACAGCATTCTGCAGTCCAGCAGAGCAGTTCCACCCATAGCTAGTGCTACTAGAAATGTGTAAATTCCTGGCTAACCTGCAATTTCCTCACACCCAGCATTCCATTTTGGAAAATTAATCTGATAGCAAGATGTATTGGGAAATGAGTTAGGAGACAGTCTCATATTCCAGGTGAGAAGTGGCAGAATACATTAATAACTAAAATACTGAAAATAAAGGGACAATTTTCATAGATGTTTATGAGCCATACATTACAAAGTCTGGTGCTGGAATAAATCACAAGAGAGAGATAAAATAGAAAAAATAATTCTGTTTTAGATGATTGGGAATCAAAGATTTGGAAGATAATGGTGCCTTTGATAACAATATTAAACATTTGTTGAACATATCAAATGCTGGATTTCTGTGATAAGCCCATTAAATTGATTATGTCATTTAATCTTTACCACAATGCTGTTAGGTAATAGCATGTTCCCCACTTCACTGATGAAGAAACTGAATTTCCAAGAGGTTAGTTGACTTGCCCAAGGTCAGTTTCTAACCCAGGTGGTCTGATTCCTGTGTTTATATTCTTAACCTCTATCTTGTCTAACTGCCACTAAAATAAATGGGAAAATCAAGAAGGGAGCTGGCTTGAAAACACTGGAAAAAAATTAGCATATTCTCTAGGGAAATGAAGCACTAATCCCCTCCCCATATTGTAAACAGAGATTCCTGCCTAGGATTTAATTCAGGACTGAAGACTTTTGAAACCCTTGTACATCTTTGCTGGCCATGGGTGCATGGCTATAGGTTACTCATTTTAAAGCATATTTCTCCTAAGTTGTGCAGTTGCTTTTGTCAGCAAAGAAACAGCTACAAAGAGAGCTGGTCAACCATCTGCTTCCGGGTATAACTCCAGAAATTTGATTTAAATCTTTAATGAGCCAGGCCATTCTCTAGGTGCACTATATTCCTGCAAGCTCAGCTTGGGAAGTATAGCTAGGGCTCTTCACACAAAGTAATACAGGACTCTCACTTTCTGGAGTAGACTTTTGTTTGTTTACTCCATTTAAGGTTTTCTTTTTAGGCTAATAAGTTATAACAACAGGAGGATGCAATGTTTTCTTAAATATAATAATAAATTTCATCATCTCTTCACAATGATATAGTCATATTTTTGAGGTTAATGGGAAGTTGTACCCCACCCTCATTTACAAAAGTCACTTTTCTTTCTTTGTCTTTTAAGACAACTGAAAAATCTACATTTTCAATGCACCTTCTCTAAATTGTGTAAAAATTCTTACCTTTTTGTAGACTACCTGGGAAATTTCTTAAAAAAGAGTTATGAATTAATATATGAACATGTTTTATCTGGTCAACCTTTAAAGAAGTTCCAGTCCTGAATGATACAAGGGAGAAGCTCGAGTTTAGCCCTAGGACTGCTTTTTAGAATATCTGGTTGATTCAGTTGCTCCATAATGTATTATTAAGTGATACTAATATGTCTTTGTGACTTTATAGTTATGTTCCTTTTCAATGAAAACACAAGCATTTGTATTTTCATTAAAAAGTATTAAACCAGGTATGTTCTTATCCCTGTGTTTTGTTGATGGGTCAAAATATTCTGTCCCTAGTTTGTTCTCAAGGAGCACAAAATCCCAAGTTGTTTTATGACACGAGATTCACCTTGATTGTTCTTGAAATGCAACTTTGTTTTTTGTTTTCATTTCACTGATTTTTAGATAACTCCAATGTATTCATACTCCAAAGCCTTTAATTATTCTAGAGCTTGATGGCATATTATTAATAATGAGGTCAGAAGAGTGTACACAAAAAAGGAATGCTCTAAACTGGATTGTCGTCAGGTCAATGGCACAGTCAGTCCCAACAAATTAAGGCAGATCATGATTGGAAAATCCTGGTTGACAATCTCCTAACTCAAACTCAAGGTCCTCTGAAAGTGCTACTTACACTTTAGTGTGGTTGCCATGTTTCTGTATTAGTGCAAAAGGGAAGTCTTGCATAAAAGGAGAATATAGTGTATGACACATCAATTACATTTCCTGACTTTCAAGTTAGGGGAATTATCTTCTCAGAATTTTATTTTATATTTTTTGTTTCAGCAACTGAAATTTATAATTGCAATTACCATATTGAGAAAAATTCTACATAAAGAATATTGTCCACACAGCTTTGGAAGTAAGCCGTCTCTTCTCCTATATTCTGTCTGTGTTACAGTTAACTGAGAACAAGTGGTTTCTTTCCTCACATTTCGCATTGGAATTTTAAATTTAAAAGATTCTATTAAGTGGGAAAGCTTAGAATACTGGCATTGGTAAGTAGAAATAGCTAATTACACAA